AAACGAGCTGCAATTGTTTATGAATGTACCATCGTCTGCAAGTCTTTTAAGGAAAGCATACGCATATATTTTTTCAGTTTTCCATCATCAGCTGCAAACTGTGAACAATCAGATTTTAAAAATCTTCCCCCTTTCTACTTATGCAAACAGGCATATTTTCGCCTGCAGGGAAAATGTGTGCATGAGGGGAAAGGGTTCGTTAAAATACACACACACATTTTTGTGCGAGAAGAGGAGACACTCTCATAATGCAAGGAGGAACTAGAATGCTGCTGAGGTTTTTTGAGATAGAAAATGAACAGATTTTCACATCATGGGACTTAGATTAGCAGGTTGGTTTATCAAGGGTTGGGCTTCAATTTTATTTTATTTTTCCTGGCCTGGACATGCTTTCCCAATTAAAACAACTTTGCACTTCAGGCACCAGGTGAACAGTAGCTAGATAGATACTGTATTTTTCCATGTATAAAACTATACTTTTGTCTAAAATCTTTAGACTAAAAACTGATGGTCGTTTTATACACGGAAATAAGCTGAGGAGAGAACAAAAACAAGTGGAGGGGAAAGCAGGGATCAAAGCGATCCTGCAACGCTTTGATCCCTTTCCCCCTACACTTGCTAAGCCCCACTTAGATTTCTTAATTTTGGATTAGAAAAGTGTCTTATACATGGGGATGTCTTATACATGGAAAAATACAGTAGATATTTCTCTGGTTCCTTTCATAACAGGGTGTTAAAGCATTTGGATGTGCTGCCTACAACTCTGCCTCTTGTATTTTACTAGTGATATTTAGGACAAAGCATTTTTCACGGTCTTCTCCCACCCCACCCCACCTTATTGCTTGGTTCCCAAGAGATGTACTGGACTCTGTATCCAAACCATTGGGCATCTAAACAGCTTCAGGACAAAGTGCACCAGGCAGGGCAGCTGGTTCCTGGCAGAGAAAGGAGCAGAGGAGCAATGAAGGCAGAAGTCTCCTTCTTTGTAAGCCACCACCACCAAGCAACCTAACTATTTTGCACCACGCATCTATCAAGGTGTTGTTTCCCCTGTTTCACAGCTCAGCAGAGAACAGGTGGTAGGACAGGGTGCCATAGTGCTAAATTCCTCCTCTTGGTATAAAATGGTACCCCCCCAAAAAAACCCCAACCCTATGAACTTTGAATCAGAGAAGTCCAGGAATAAAAGAGGAGGAAAGTTGGTACATAATGGGATAAGAACAACATCATCCGGATGTCAGAAGAATCTCCAGTAAGACCAGCGCTTAATAGTGAACTTAAAGGGGTTGAAAAACACTGCCTAGAAAACCGCTCTAATGTCTTATTCCGCTGCTTAAAAAGTGTGATTCTGCGCATACCTTCCCAGCAGCAAACCCCACAGAATTCGGTGCAGTGAGCTTCTAGATCAGACTGCAGGAGTGGTTTGGATTATAAAGGGATGCTAGAATGTCATTTTATGGTTGCGGCCTTTTAATCTGTGTTGGTTTTTTACCTTGGGAGTCACCATGAAAAAAGTTGTACTTTTGGAAGAGGGAGCCGTGGTGTATCAAAAGATGGGAAGAAATCAAAAGGTTGGTTGCCTTGCATTCAGTGTGTAACTGCCCAGCGAGTAGCTTTTAACAGCCTTCTGACATACAAAAATGGAGGAGTTGCAATCTTTAATCCCTGGCAGGCGAGATGAAGGTTTTCATTAGCAGGGGAGATCAGTTGGCAACCCAATGAAGCCTCTGGATTTGAATAAATTCAGCAAAAGTTGCTTCTTAGCAGTTAGGAAAGTGGCGAGCAGATTTCAAACCAGAAGACACACATTTAGGACGAAAGAATTCTAAACCAAGCAATTAATTGGAAGGGCCTTAACGAAAAACTACGGTATTCTGGATTAAGCAAGTGCTAGTAATTTGACATGCTTGGGGTGGGTGGGTTTATTTTATGTCCTTCCCATAGCAAAGGTCTGTGTCTTCTAAATTTTGATGGAAGCCCTAGTCATCTCCCCCTATTTATTTAT